TGCTGGCTGAGGAATTCTGGGAGTTGAAGTCCACAAGTCTTAAAGTTGCCAAGGTTGGACACCCCTGTTGTACACCATAGTGAGGCTCCTTGGGGTGAAAAGCAAAAGTGATTTACGGGATGATTTACAACCCTTCCTGTCAGCTTCCCATTGATTTTGTTTATGGGAAGGTGACAGAGAAAGTCGCAAATGGCAAACACTTGACTATGACTTGTTGCATAATGAGCCAGGTAAATGAACACCTGGATTGTTAACATGTGACTACAGGACTGCAAGATACAAGTTCATGGACTGGTCTTAAATGCTCTGTTGAGTGGGGTCATAATTTTGAACTGGTACTAAGAAGTGGTTGTAACATAAGGATTACTTGTATACTTCCTTTGTCCTTTACTCACCCCTCTGGATTATTTTCTCCACCATCACTATTGCAATGAGGCAGCACAGCAGGACTTGAGGAAAATCAAAACTGATAAAACATTTAATATAATAAGGTAATTTTGCTGTGACAAGAACAAGAATGCCAGTTGCTACTGATATGTCATGTAAAGAATTCATTGTGTTTATGAAAAATGGTAGTGATGGCAGACAACTGAAATGTAGCACATGTATAGATTAGACAGTGGTGCCAAACTCGGGTCATCAGGCAACGTATCGTGATTCTCCCCCTTCGCTAAATCAGGCACGGGCTTGGCCAGCGTGTGATGCATCCGGCCCACAGGCCGCTAGTTTGACAGCCCTGGATTAGAGAAACCTCCCCAGTAAAGATATTATAAACTAAGCAACAATAGCAACTGCAGCTATGGTATAGTATTATAAATAATTAGACCCCCCAAAGGAAATCAAAATAAAAATTGAAGCAAAACTATATGAAAAACAAATACATTTAAAATTTAAAAAATCAACAGAAAAAATTCCCTATCTATAGGAAGATCATTGCAATTTCCTTTCATAAATTTCTAAACCACCCAAAGCCATTCAAACGTACTATATTTCATTTGTAACTAAGTCATTTATAGGTAATATTTTCTTAGCATTATTTTGCTTATCATAACATTTATTAGAGACAGAAAACAAGAGTTGCATTTGCTCATCAATAGCAACCTAAGCTGCCTGACTGAAAACACCAATATTTTAAAAATATGAATAAATTTGCTTTATGCCATAATTCAGGCTATTTGTTTCAAGTCTTTCTGATCACTTACGTTAAAATGGAAGGAAACTGGCCTTTATTGCAAACAAATTATAATAAACGTCTGTCTTGATAGAGGAAAAGAGATCTGAGAAAGCATTCAAAAGCTGGGAAAGGAGAATAAAATATTTCAATTGGAAAAACACACATAAACTTTGCAGGATTTATTTTTATTTTTAAATAATAGTGTCCTTTCCTGATAAAGCAGCTTTTCAAATTACATTTTTTCTTAGGCTATAGCAAATATGTCTTGATGTCTTTGGCTTTTTCACTATATAATGATCACTAGAATATCTAATACAAAAATGTAGATTTACCAGAAAAATAAGCATATAATCCACAATTCTGAAACATAGCAAAAACTTTATCAAATGTTTTATACATGGATGAGACAATTTCTTGTGCATATTACATTAGTAGCTCAAAAGTCGTGCTTCAGAATCACTCAATAAACTGTACAAAACCAGAATCAGATGCTCTACTGAAACAATACTAGAATAATGTCACTACTTATATATTTTACAATGTATACAATACATTGTTGTTTAAAACTAGATGAATGTACAATTGACTTTCATTCTAATTGCAAATAAAATGTAGTAATTGAGCAATATTAAAAATTAGTCACTTTTGAGATTGTGACACAAAAGCTCAGTATTGTGATAAATTATTCCCTTTATAAAATACACAAAGATTTCATGCACATCAAAAAATTGATATATATAAAATCCAACATTAAAGTTTCACATTCCTCTGTTTGCACAGAATGCATCATATATCTGGAAGCAGCATTATTAAAAACAAATATTCTAAAATATTTTTTTTCTTTTTTCTCCTGTTCCTGCAAAGCAATACCTACATACAATAGATTTGGCTACTGAATTAGTCCTTGTGTTTACAATGCTGGGCAAAGATTTCCAAAGATAGCTTAAGAGATTTTGCAACTATTTCTGACACAAGGCTTTGGAGGGTTCTGGAGCGGACGGATGATTTTGGCTTTTTTCAGGCTGTTCCTTTTGTTATTGTTGCTGGCAGTGAGAGAGTAAGAACGACCGTGCATCATCCTAGCATTTAGGCCATTGGCCATGGAGAATGACTTGAGATGGCTTCTTAAGGCAACAGGGAGTGGAAGTTTGTCAACCAGGTGCACAGGTGTGCAGGAAACTATGGCACGGCAACAAAGATCTTGCAGACTCAGGACTGAAACATAAAATAAGCAAGATTAAACATTAGAAAGATCTTAACAGCCACATGGTGGCAGTACACAGCTAGAACTTTTAATACCCCTATCTTTATTCATTTTACTATTCTTGAAGTACCACACTATTCCTGTACTGATTCTTCCCATTACTATGGCTTGCCTTCCTTGATACAAATAATTTTGCGGATTGTTTTGGACTGGAGCTCCCTAGAAAAGCTCCCAAAGCTAAAATGATAAAAGTGGTACCACTGCATTTTTGAAAACCTGGTTTGCTTCTTTTTTTATCTATACCACATCCTTCCTCATTAAGGGGAGGTGGCAGTGGAACTGCTATGAGTTCTGCAATTCCACATCTTCCTTGCCTTTTCCTTTTGAAGGAAAGGGTGAAGTTTAAATGAAGCTGAGCCCAGTTTGCTAATGCTCCTGTTGGTTTTGACTTGGTCTGCCTTTTATCTTCAAGGAGTAGGATGAGGCATGGGGGATTTGGAGTCCCTTCTGGTGGTGTTTCTGCAAAATTACTGGCATGATGAACTCAGGAGGATTACCAGGAACTGCTGTATAGCAATCTTAATTGAGCAATGCATAGGGTAATTTCTGATTATACATCTTAAAATGGGAAACATTTACTAGGTGCTGGTTATGACATTAAATCACAAGCATGTACCAAAATATTTTTGTAATTTTTTTTCATCCTGACTAAATACAATATATAACTGGCATACATAGGAAAGAAGTAAGTACATTTCTGTTGCTTACCCTTGTTTGGCCTCCACAGCCGGTCCATTCCGTGTCTCATTAACACTATTCTTGCAAGTTCTGTAAAGGACTCTGTGATGTTGAAATTACAGAGTGGGCTTACTTCAAAGAATGTCATGCCTAATCTTTCAGCATAAGCCTGTGCCTGCTCAGTAGACACTTGCCTTTTGAAGGCTAGATGCAGGCGATTGCCAACCAGGATTTTGGGTACACCAGGAGCATGCTGAGAAAGAGAAACAGAACAATGTTAATTTCAAAATCTATACCCATTTTCTTCATCAAAATGACTAACCGCACATCATTTATTCAGGCTAGCTCAATTTTCTGACTTTGCCTAACTATAGTATGTGGACTGGGTTCACTAATATGTAAAATCATAAGGTTGTTATTTGGGATTATCTTAAATATTTCATGAACACAGATGCCTTGTTTTAAACATGATCGATACCTTTGTGTGTTATATGATTCTGGCCCATTTCTGATTTATTCATCAAACCATGATAAAATAAAGCATGGCTTAATGTAATACATAGTCCAGGCTACAATCAAGTGTAGAAAAATGAAATGGGCTGCATGAGAGAACAGGTAGGGAATTACCACTTCCTGTTCTCTGAATGTTGAAGAAATAGAACAATCAGGAGGCCCTGAGTTTGATCCTAGGTAGAGGCTAATATTTGGAATAGACTCTCTTCCAACTCTGTTATTCTATTCTATTCAGACCCAATTATCACCAGCTCCAAGAATGCCATCTTTCTGTCCTTTGCTTCCCTAAAAGGAAGTCTAGCAGCACTGTTTTTGAAACATTGATGAGAGGAAGGACAAAGCGTATGCCATACATTAATCGGCAGAAGCTTTGAAGGGAAGAACTTAAGGTTGATGAAAATGATTGACCATCAAGCCACTATATGGAAAAATATTTGAAGACAGACCAGTTCTAGAAGTAAAAAGAAAATTCTGCTTCATCGTACAGCCCTAGGACTCTTTCTAGGAACTGTAGCACTGTCCAAAGTATTCTTGGTTTTCTTTACTAAGTTTCTATTTTTGTATAAGTTTATATTTTCTATTTTATTTTATAGTGATTTAGGGAGTTGTCCATCCATACAACCAAATACAATTTTTTTTAAAGGCATGTTTTATTGACTAAGCCACAACTGCCCAGGTTTGCAAAAGAAAGCCATGAATCATTGTTTACAAAGTATAATGACTGAGTTTACACCAGGTCTGTGCATTTTAAACAGGATATGGATGGTAATTTAGGTGGTATCCTAAATTCAGAACTCTTTTTCATTCAGGTAAATATTTATTTTCATTATTCAATATCTTACCTCATCTATCTCCTTTATCCACCGATCAATGCCATCAAATGACCAGCGATTTGTTATATCATATACCAGTATCACACCCTGGGTGAATGAAATCCATTTAAAATTAGTCTGACATATGAGTAAATTTAAATATGCATCGTACAATCTTGTGTAATAGTATTTGATGACATTATAAGAAATAGTGTTGAACAGATCTGAACTTTTCTGTAAAACTGTACTTATATTCAGCACAAATGTGTACACATTTTAAAAAGGTAAGACAATACACTTATCACTTTGCTTCCCCTAGCAATTCTTATCATTTTTTTCTGCCTCACTGATATAGTTCAAAGATCCGAGTGTGTGCTTACCTGAGCACCTCTGGAATACGAACGAAATATGGTACAGAATCTGCCTTGTCCAGATGTGTCCCTGAAAATGATACAGTACATAATTAAAAATAGTTATTTCCATGCTAAGAGTGCTATAAAGTACTATAAACAGTTGTCTGTTTAAGTTGCCTGATTAACAAATTCATATTAATGACTTTTCTCAAGTTTGCCTTTATCTTCATTTATCATTTTACATTTATGATTAATATTCAACAATTTACCAAAACTGAAAACAAGATACTTGAATACAGATCAGTGCATACATTATAGATTATTCTGTGTACATCTGTGTGTAGCCCTGGTTCAGGACAGAGCTCACTCACTGTCAATCACTCCTTTTCACTTTATCATCAGAGAAAAACCATCGAACAGGTCACTAGTGCAGAAGATGGGTGTACGAAGCAGGAACTCTGCAAAAACTCCCTCCTGCTTTACCCCATGCCTGCCATTTATTGATCAGAGGACTAAACTCATCTTTCTAAACCATTTCTAAACCATCATCCAACCCTGTACTGCCACACTACACATTAAAGGGAATGATTGGTAGTTGTTTTTCCTGTGATGCTGGGTGCAATGGGAATCAAAGCCAGGGAAATCCACCATCACCTTCCTTACATTATAGGACTACATTAATTAATTAAGGTCAGCCCCATTTGCAAGGTTCCTTGTTGGGGTAGAATGGAAGTCGGTAGAGGAGGCAACCCAATTTATGCTGGGCTTTTCTGTTGGGTGAAAGGTGGTGAGTGGCACTTGAAGGCAATCATCTGAAAGAGCTCTGGGTGATCCTGTCCTTGGTCTGTCTAATGCTCAGCATAAAGCCCCACTCACATGCTTGTTTAGGAAATATTCAGAACAATAAAATTGATATCTGTGATTAAGTTTATTAAATAGTTTGATTTGATTTATAATAACATTTAGCTAAGACAAAAGTGCCTTCCTGTTGTGACCACAGTTCAGTGTAGCCAAAATACTCTTACCATTAAAAGTAAAGGTTATTATACTCCCACCCTCCTTTGGCATCCTATCAGATTCTAGAAGTGGCCCGTATTTAACTTTGGTTAGGATGAGAGCAACCTAGTGAATTTTTACATAACTCATGTGATCTTACACCCCAAGTGCAATTGTTTCTTATATAGTTTCCACAACACAGAATATAATCCAAACAAAGTAGTTACCAGAGCTGCAACTTTATTCGCCGGCCATCCAGAAGTATTGTTGTTGTTTTGTAATCAATACCTGAAGAGAAAGAGTATTATGTTGAAATAGTGCAAATGTTGCACAAAAACTTTTAATATATAATAATATCAGATTTTTATATTAAAAAATCCAGTTCTATGCTATAAATGAGGAGTAGCAAAGGAAATCCCCCAGGTTTTAAACTCTTTCAAAACATTGTAAAGTCAAATGATAAGATACCTTTGTCACTTTTTCTGTGAGTACACTGGCACACATTAAAAATAAAATTGCCTGCTCTCAAAAGTGTGTGTGTGTGTGTGTGTGTGTGTGTGTGTGTGTACATATATGCACACAAATATACATATGCTGTGTACATACATACATATGTATTATGTATGTATAAACACACACACACACACACACACACACACAAACACAAGATAACAAAAAAAACTATACCCCAGGGTGTTTTTTTAAAACATTTTTTATATCTTTTCACCACATTAAGGCAATGGCAATATCAAGCTATTTTCTACATTATATATTCTGGTGATTTTTGTAATCATCTTTAATCCCCCATCCCAATTCCAAACTTCTATGTGGTATATCCTGTCTCTTCATCATTTTCTTTTTTTTCTGTTTTGAAATGTCTCCAAGCAAGTAAACAAATCTCTGTTAGAGGAAAGAAAGACTCCAGGATCTTTGAAAATACAATATCATATCATATTAAAGTGTTTGCTCTCTTCCATTTAAATTTGCTGTACATAAGATGCATTTAGTTATAACTCTTAATATGTATTAATGGTACCAATGGAAGGGACTAATTTCTATAAATACATTTATATTACAATAACACACTGCAAAGAGGTGCCAGAGATACTAAGGGCTGTGGTAGGATTTGATGGAAGCTGGTGCTGGCTGTCTCCTGGACACATATTTCAATATTCCATGTTTTCGTTTTGCTTATGCTGTAGTGGGGGGACGGACGGGACACTAACAGCTTTGCAACACCCCCCCCCCCCATACCACTTTACTTATTTATAAGATTCGTATGTAATCTAATCTAGTGTAGTGGTTAAGGCATCAGGCTATAAGTTCTAGTCCCACCTTGAGCGTGAAGCCAGTTGCATGAATTTGGGCCAGTCACTTTCTCTCTGCCCTAGGCAGGAAACAATGCCAAATCACTTATAAAAATCCTTGCCAAGAAAACTGCAAAGAATTATCCGGGCAGTCTTTGAGAATGGGACACAATTGAACAGAAGAAAAATAAAAACCTAATCAGTGTAAACTGATTAGGTTAATATTTCAGATTGTATTTAAGAAATGGTTTAGCACTAAAATCTTCTCCCTTAGCTTATAGATTCAGCTTTCTTGAACATGAACAAATATTTATATTTGCAGAAAGTGCTGGGTCCTCTGAGTCATATGAGTCCTTTGCAAATCAGGAATTCTAAACTTCTGTCCACAGAATTGTGGTTTTAAGTCAAGAACTGCCAGTATTCATTTCTCTAGATAAATAAGGTATTAGCCATGATTACATTATCATATGAACTGCTCACATTCCAGAATTCTGCACAGTCACCAGTTATACCAGTCTGAGACAATTTGCATCTGTAATTGTTTGTAATAACAAATGAGGAGCCAGTAGATGTTTTGAGTCATACTGTAACTAGCAGAATATTTTTTTTTTCATTTAAAATAGCATGCCCATACCTGTGCCTTGCGACCAGAAACACATTTTTAAATTGAGAAATAGCTCATCAGTTATGAATTTCATACAATAATTAGTTATTACCCTTAATAAGTGGCTGGTAATCTCTCACGGAATTCTGTACAAAAATCTTTCATGAAAATCATAGTAGCTGTGATCACAGGCAAAGCAACTGCTCCCTATGATCCAGAATTGTTGTCTTTATATAATGTGATAAATTCTACTGTATTTTGTTTTTAAACACCAAGCCTACCATTAATCAGCTCGTAAGACAGCATTTAAGCACTTGTTGTTGAACAGGATGCATTATTAAGCTATTTCTAAGTAAGACACTCCCACCAAGAACAACAGAATTGCAATCTAAATTAGTTGATTTGTGGAGCATGCTTTAAATAGGTTGTTTTTTTGTTCAAGTAAAAATCATTGGGATCACATACAGTTCCCTTTTAAATGTCATCTCTTTCTCTGTTGTAGCAACACTGATATAGCACTGTACCACCCACCATGATTCTGAAAAGATAACATGACCAAAAAAAACTCACTGTGCACAATTAACTATTAAAACATAGTTGTATTAGAAATATGGTTAGCTAACATAATCGCTAATTTTTTTAAAAGAACTACTGCATGATAAAAGGAAAACTACTGTGATAAAAGGAAAAAGAGATCTTTTAAGACTTCAATCCATTGGCCACTTCAGTTAACAGCATTAGGACTTCTTTTCAAGTCATCCTTCTTAAGATGTTATTGCAATGTTTCTAAATTTCAAAGTACTGAAAAATACCAGGGACTGCCATCGAGCATTTAAAACCCCACTTTGTTGTAAAATTACTGCATAAATATAGATGTGCCATTCTCATTGACTGAATATTGGGATTTTGCTATAAATGATTGCCTCAAGGACATCTTACATATCTCATCAAGAAGTTGTGGCACTCCTGTTGTTATTACACAAGCTCTTAGGTTCAATTACACATATTGTTTGACAAGAAAAGCTAGTGTTTTGCAGAGAAAAAATGGTGATTCGGAGACCTCATTGGCAAGCACACTGTATCTGTTAGTATCCCCTTAAATGCATATATTCCTGGTTTCATGTGGTTGCAGCTAGGAGAATGCATAAATAACAGAATCAACAAATAGTATATGGAAATATAATTGTATCAGGTACTTGTTTGCCATTTTATCTATCCCTCTGAACATTGAGGGCCTCACTTTTACAAGAGGTTGGCAAGGTGTCATCCAGAAGGCAGATAGTAGCCTCTGGATGTATATCTGGCCTTGACTATTTCTGTGCTTTGCAAAGATTTAAAACTATCAAAATAAAGTATGCTGTCAATTTGAAGATAATTACCATCATTAATTTGACTACTGTGGTACTGTATTGTTCTGTTTTTGTTTATAACAATATATGTTGTTGATTTTTGTTTTGGTATCTACTATCCAGTTAGTATTGACAATGAAATCTTTGTGTTGAATAGAAAAATAGAAAAGTGTGCAACTTTTCTGAACTGAACCTAGCTTTTGAATGCCATGCTGAGAGTTGGGTTCTATAAAGTAATAAGGTGGGAGAAAATAATTATTTTCATTTTATTTACATTGAATTAAAATGAAATAGAATTAGTACTATTGGTTTCCACAATATATTTAACAATCACCCTCTTACGCCATATTTTAAATTATAACTTAGTAGCCAAGAACCTTATTTGGAATTTATTTATTAAATTTATATGCTACCCATACGAAAACACAATCATTCAACATTAAATAAGTAAAAACAGTTTGCTTACTTTACTGAAGTACTAATAGGGAAGCTAAAGTTTAGCTATTATAGATACGAAATTATGAAGCCTAGAAAAATCAAAAGCAATCTTAAATTATCAGAACACAAAGCGATTTAATACTGTCATTGAAGAAAGTATAAGTTTATAAAAAACTTGGGGAAGTAGTTACTGAGAGATAATCCTCAAGTTATAAAGAATTGGAAGTGACAGACTTCTGGATTGTTCGTTGTCGGAGTGGAATCTGCGATTGTTTGCCGTTTCGTCCAAACTCACTTGCTGGAGGGTCCCCATTGGGACCAGAACCACCCTGGAGGGGTGGTGAAGAAGGGAGGAATCACCTGGAAGAGAGAGAGTCGCAACACCCCTTCAGGACAGGAAAACCTCTCCCAAAGGCAAGTTGCAGCGGTGGTCTTAAAATGGCCACCATGAAGACGAAGAACACTTCGGGAAACTAAGACTGTGCTGGAGAGAAGGAGCAGCAAGCAGAGTGTGAACCAGGCAAAAGACATCGTTTTTGAGGTACCCCAGAATTAAAAATAAAGGATTATTTTGGAGGAAAGTGTATGGAAGCGGCGACCAAAGAAAGTGAGAAGGAAATTGGATTTTATAAAATTGGCTTGAATCAATGTATTGGATATTGTTAAAAGAGCGAGAGATAATGGGTGAAAAAAAAAGAGGATAGGAAGGAGATTCTGCAAGGTAATAAATTGTGATATATATGAATTAGTATTGAAAATAGATAAGTATGTAACTAATGGGATTTTTTCTCTTTAGTTTCTTTTCTTTCTTTCTCTCTCTCTTCCCTGTTATTAAAGAATTATTACTATACTAGACATAGAATTTAATGGAATAAATATGGAACTGGGAATTTATAATAAAATATATAGTAATTGTTGACTAAAGAGGTACAAGAAAAGGGGAAAGATGTTGAAATGAGATCTATTATGGAAGGATTAATATTGGTTGCTATACGTAAATGATTAGACTAATATGTCTGTAATGTATAGATGATTTATAAGGTGACTAAGAAAATGTAATGCGGAATCTGATTGTGTGTGTGTGTGTGTGTGTGTGTGTGTGTGTGTTATAGTAAATAGGGAGATGGTATTAAGGTAGATTGAAGGTGGCTGGCTCAAATTAATAGAGGGGACAATCTTGAATTAATAAATTAAGAACTGATAAAACTACAAATATGACAGAAAAAGATAATATGGGAAAGAACATAGAAATGAGATGAGAATTCTAAATAACATTGTAAATAAGTTATGAAATATTCTAAGGAAAATGAAGTAAGTTATAATATGAATTGGAATTGGATAAGTTCAATATTTAACACTAATAAGGTTAATGTGATATGAAATTGAACAAATAAAATGAATAGGTAAATATGGTCATGTTTGTATAGATATGAAACCTGGAAACATACTGCTTGCCAAATGATAATTTTTTATTTAAAAAAAATATTGAGGAGGAAATTGAGTAATGAAATTACTAAGTACGTCCAATTGATATGGTGGCATTAGGAGAGACTATTGAAATGTTGAAAGTAAGCAAAGAAGGATTTTGAT